ATGAATCAAAAGCTGGGAATTGGAAATGTCAAACAAATCCCACGAACAAAATATCAATAAATAGCTTTATCTTGGAGTGATTAAATGGATGAGAGGGGATTCGGCATTTTGGATTTCCTTTTTTCAGCCCCCATGCGAAAATTTGGGAAGGTCAAGAAAGCAAGATTCATCCATTTTAGGAACAAAAAGTCATTTTAAAAATTTTGAAAATCGGAAAAACAGAAAGTCGAAATTAAAAGAAGAACAATAAAAATAAAGTCAAAAATCGAAATTTCAAAACAGCTCTAATTGGAAACAGAGGTCGGTCGGAATTATGTAGATTTTAGACATTATTTCCGTGCTCGAAATATGATAAAAATTTCCGAGATTTTCGAATGACTGAAAACTTTGTTCATAGTCCTTTCAGATTCTCAAAAATTAGCAGTACTAGCTTTAATAAAGATAGGGGCTAAGGCCTCAAAGCGTCCAATAGAGCGGTTTTTACACTAAAAGCCAAAAAAATCCCGACAGAAAAATAAAAATTTAAAAAACATCACAATAATGTACGGAGAAAATTCTGAATTTTTGTTTTAGTTGTTTGTCTCTTTTTAGTTAAATCTTGGCGACACAAAGGACATGTCTTATTTGTTTTAAACCTTAATTTAATTGAATTAATTAAATAATTTGTTAAAGTTTTTCAAAAGTTCTAATTTTAAAATGTACATATAGAGTTGGACTAGAGAACGGACTGGGTGTGTCGTACGAGAATCGAGATCTCGATAACCGAGATTTTTGATTGAGATCTCGATCACGTTCAAGTCTCTATGTTGAACATCATTTTAACTATACACTTTTCATTGTAAAATTTTATGAAAACCCTAAGTATCCATTATTTGGAATATCGCTTAGTTAGTCATCTCCCTCCCTTCCCAGTCGTCAAGCAAAATTTACATTAAATTTTGGACTTTATACATTTTCTTTTACAAAAAATAAAATAATAATTACCAAGTTGTAATGCATCCATCGTGAAATAAATGCTGAAAATTGGAAATTATATTAAATAATTGGCCCTTTCTTTATAAAATAAATTAGAATAATCCGAGTAGAATATTAGAGGGAGAAAGTTTAAGTACATAATAGAGGTTAAAGTATCAAGAATAGGTGTATGTACAGTAAGTAATACCTTATAATATTCTAATACTTATTTATTTCGGCGTCTCGTCAAACAAACGGCTCGAACGGAGAATCTTATGTTGCCTCAAGGCAAAAATCAAAATACCAAATTGACCATTCCGGGTATTTTGGCTTAGACAAAAAAATTTTTTCTATTTTTAAAGGAAAATAACAGGTTCAGACGGGGTCAATTATTTAATTAAAAATACTTTGCAATCATTTAATTCTCGAGCAGTTTCGCCAATTTCAAGATTAGATAAGCAAATAGAACATTCAAAATCAATTTCTTCGTTTATATAAAATCGTGTAACTATAATTTAAAATATTTTTGTGTTAAATATTTTAAGAAATTAATGTTATAGCCAACTAATTAAAAAACAGGCAGATGATCAAAAATCTGCTTTTTTGGGGAAATTTTGATGGTTATTATTTCCTATTAAATTTTAAAAAATCATTCTACTCAAAAAATCAAAATAAAGTTCCTATATATAATTTAAAAAATAATTTATTTTACATTTATCTCTTTTGATGAAATAAATTTTGTTGAAATATAATTGTTTTTGATCGAAGCGCTTATACAAAAAATGAAAATCAGTGAAATCATCATTATCGCTGCAAATATATATTATTAAGAAGATAAAAGAATAAAAATCGAAATTTTCCACTTTATAAAACTTTACGAAGAGCGAATAAACAAAACTTAAAGTTCGTTGCAGACCAGGGGGCTACTGGGGCTACTACTCTGTCCGGGCTACTGAAGATGCTAGTTCGCACTCAGCCGCCGAACAACCTTTTGCACTAGCTAAAGGAGAGAAATACCTATAGTCCAGCTGATTTACTCAACATATACACTAGAGGTGTCTTCAGAGGGATAATGAAAAGGCGAAAGACCACCCCTGGTATACACACTGCTATCTGATACACCCTTACTTTTATTAAAAAATATAGTCTTAATTAATACTAGTTATAAACAGGCATAATTTCGTTGCATTTTGTCAGTTCTTCATGCTCTTTTGTTCCTTTTTTAAATTTTAAATTGGGGGAATTGCCAGGTCCTGTCCATTTCCAACGAAAAGCTACAAATTCTCTTTCGAAAACAATTTTATGTGAATGTGTAATTGCACTTTTCTCGTTTTTTATTTCTTTCGGATCAGGAACAATTTCTTCAATTAAATGATCTTTCCCATATATTTTAAAAAGAGCATTTGCTAAACAAATTGACTGTTTTTCTATAAAATGTTTTTTAAAACAATTAGTGTTTATAAGAAATAATTTTTTACCAAATTAAATATTTTAAAATATGTATGTGGATTTAAAATAATAAAAAAACTTAAAAAGATAACTTGAAATAATTTACAAAATATACCAGACTAGGACATGGATACGGATTTTGGTATCCGTATCCGGATATTTACGGCGGATACAGACGGATACAGACGGATACAGGCGGATATCCGCAGGCATTTTGGTATTATCTGTGTCCATATCCGTATCCATGACCATGTCTGTAATATACTAATGAACTACAATCAATCCCTACTAAAAATTACAACAACAATTATTTTTAACCAGTATTTTTTGATTTTTAAAAGTAGAATTATTCTAAAAATTAAACAATAGTTAATCAAGTAAATACTTAATAATTACCAAATTTTTCCTTCTTGGTCAAAATTAAATAATTTCCTTTAACAGTATCAAAGGTATCCAAATATTTTTTAACGACCAAAACGCGATTTGAATTATTTTCGGCTTTTTTTAAAAATTTTTTCTTTTTATCAAAACATTCTTTAGCATAATCAATGCCTTCAATTTTAGCCATTTCATTTTCTTCAATTTCCAAATCTTTTATTAATTTTTTATCAATTCCACGATGAACTTCCCATTCCTTCCAAGTTTGGCCACTAATCATTTCTATTTTTGTAGTATGATTATAAGCAATTTCTTCTATTTGGGGATTATATTTATGTAGAATATATTCAACAACACAAGATTGATGACAATTGAAGGAAATAAAAATTAAAATGAAAATCATTAAAAATGTCTTTGACATTTCTTTCTAAATAAAATTAATTTTAAAACTAAATGGTATATGTATGTCCATTTCAGTGGTCATTATCCCCGATAGCCCGTGCTGTTATCAGACTTTTTCGGCTATGGCGAATATTAAATGTAACCCAATTTATGTTTAATGAAAAAGTTTTGGTGTAAAAATACACTTTTCCATTTTCGATTCGCAGCTCTTTCTTTTAATTATTTAGTAAAATGGCCAACTGAGCCGCAACATACTAAACAACTGCAAATTATTTCAATTTTTTCGATATCGATGTTTTTGATAATTTTGATCCGATTTCCAAGTTCCGATGATTTTTTTGTTTTGAAGCTGCTCTGCTCTAATCATTTGATAACCTGAGGAAAACTAAGGACAAGAAGCCGAATAAGATTGTCTGATCCTAAGAAATCCTCATATATCCGGATCCGGAATCAAAATTTCTATTAAAGTAATGAAGATTATCTAGTGACGTGAAGTCTTTTGAATATGCAATGCCAACTGTTGTGGATAATAAGCCATTATTTCCAGGTGCCTGCCAATTCCTTTTCAATCAAAGAAAAAGTACTGGGATGTTGGAAGATCTTGACAAGGAGTTGGGGAAATTCCTGGCTTGGTTTGGATATGAACCGAAAATTTAAGATATCAGGACTTTATTCGAATCCGTCAAGCCTAGAAAGAATAAAGCAGATTTTGTGGATAAGTGTATAGCGAGCTGTGCATTTGCCCAATTAAATTTCTAGCTCTCATACAAAAATACATATTAAAAGTTTTTCCCAACTAAAAAAATAATTTTAAATAATTTTAAAAAATTAATTTTAAAAATGGCTAATAATTAGCTGAGTGAATCTTTAAAATGGTTGCCTTTGAAAGAGACAAAAATTAATAAAGTAAAAATTAATTTATAAAGACAATGGAAAATGAATTCCCAGACAGAGAGAAAGTAAAAAATTCTTTAATTGTCAATGCTATTGAATTTTATACACATGATTCTTAATAAATATATTAAATCGATTTTAATTAAGCATTTGAAAGAAAATTATGTTTAAATAATTTTAAATTTTTATTCAAACAATTGTTTATTGTTGTGTTCCTAGCGGAGGGGATCGCCCGAAGATTGAAGACAACCATTGACTTTTGCCCTCATATTAAATTGAGGGTCACTCTTATTTGTTAGGCAGTTCCCCCCCCCCCTCCAAAATTAAAAGTTTCTTTAAAAAAAGTTTTTTAAAATCAACTTTTTTCCAATTTTGATGTATTCCGACAAAAATAAATTAAGTGATTACCCTCAATTTAAGCAAACACAAAAATACTAATTGGGAGCTGGCCAAGGTACCGCAAGCCCAATATACCGCAGAGCTATACTTCGTTCAGAATTGTCGAATCCTGGACGCCCTCGTATGGTTCGATACAGCTCGTAGAGGCGCATCGATCATACCAGGGCCTCCCGGATTTGAAGGGGGGAATATAACTATAACTTCGTCCCGGACGAAGTTATAGCTCTGCGGTACCTTGGGCTTGCGATATCTTGGGGTGTACCCATACTAATTGGATATAAATAATGATTGTTTTATACTTATTATCTCAAGTTTCTAAAATTTTATTTAAAAACTCAAAAATAATTCCTTAAATATTTAATTTAAATTTCAGATTTTTATTTAAGAACAAAAAAAAAGTTTTCATAATTTAAATATACTAAACTGTTTATTTAAGAAAATAAAATCAGAATTAATTGGAGAGAGATATTAATTAAATGTTTTCAATTTTTATTTATTTAATATTTATTCAATTCCAAATATTTTTAATTGAAGGCCTGACCATGAAGAATTTGGTAATCCCAAATGAAAAGAACCATTTGAACTCCAATTAGGACCTTTACAAATATTTTAATTAAATTCTCTTTTATTTTTAAATTAATTAAAAATTTATTTTGAAAAATCTCAGAAATATAACCAGTAATTCAAATTCTCATATGGCTAACAGTCAAAATTCCTATTTTTCAGTTTGGGTTTCCCAGTATTTGAATTTAGAGCTGTCCAAGACTATTAGTCGTAAATTTAAAAAAATCTTCGGTCTTGGAAGCTCTACTATGGTCGGACCATTTAAGGATTGGGTTTTTAAATAAATTTTTATTTTAAAAATATTTTTCCAACCGTTGCACCAATAAGTTGATTACGGCCAATTTCATATTCAATTAAATACCTTTAAAAAAATTAATATTTTTCTAATTTAAATAACCCAACCAAATCATTATTCCAAAAGCAATAATAAACAAAATGACCCCAATAACCGAATAAAGACGTTCCATTCGATAAATTGTGGCATTTAAGAGATTCAAAACTTTAAAGAAAAGATAATTTTTAAAGAATATTTTTAACAAAAAATAATTTACAGAAAAGGACAACGTTAATGACAACTATGACAAAATTAAGAGAACTGGCAAATCCAACACGTCCTAAAGAAAAATATTTTGTTTTAAAAATAATTTTTAGTATATAACCATCATAAAAGCAGGAACGTCCTCCCCAAATATTTGCACAGAGAAGTCCACAAGTTATGAAACCACAAATTATCTTAATTAATTTAAAAAATAAATAATCACAAAGTCTCTTTATTAGTTATGTTTATGTCTCTCAAATAATTATCCTCTCTAATAATTACCCCCTAGTTTTTTACTCAAACTTTAAAAATATTTAGAAAATTATCAAATTATTGGACCATTTTAGGTCCTAATATTAAAAAATAAATCAATTTTGCCTCAAATGGATTGAGATTTACCCCCAAATCCAGCACATCCTCCCTACTAATTACTCATTGAAATAATAATTACCCAGATGATTGTTTATAATAATATATTACAAACAATCACTAAATACCTATTTGTGATTGTTGTAATACTTAATCTTATATATATTTTAGACTTATTAATAATTTAAATTAAAAATAAATATTTAATTAAATTTTATTTACCTGAAGAACTTTAATAATCCCTCTATTGGTGCTGAGATAACCAGTGTTCAATCCTCCCATTTTATATCAGAAAAAAAGATTTTTTAATTTAAATATATAATTGCTATAAAATTAAAAAATATTTAATTAATTAATTAAACAACAAATAATATTTAAATCTTCATTAAAAAAATACTAAAACAATAAGGGAGAACAATAAGGGAAAAATAAATAAGGGACAACAATAAAGGAAAAACAATACAAAATCAAAGGAAAGCAGACTCTAATTCGTTTGAATCCAAATTAAAAAATATTTTCATATCATTTTGATATAATATCTGGATATATAATTAAATATTTGGTCACTCAACCTTCACAAATAAATAAAAACTTTTTATTAATAGAATAAACTCAACTTAAAGCTAACCAAGTTTCCGGTTTTAAACACTAAAAAATATTTTTTAATAGCTTTTTGGATATTTTCCTCTAAATTTTATCTGTTATTTTCCCCACAAATCACTCTCACATTTTTGGCTATTAAATTCTTCGTCCCTACACAATTTAATATTAAATAGATACCAAATGGCAGAGGTTGGTTGTTTACAACATTAAAACGCAAAATTGTTATTTCGATTCTCGAAGAAATATTTTTGTGTAAAAAAAGATTATTTAATACTAAATATACAGCTGTGCTTGCATGTGACAGCAGCCAAAAATCGAGAATTTAAAATAAAAAGGAATCGAGATTCGAGGGGTTGAGTAATATTTATTTTTATTCTTGATCATCAGTGAGGGTTGTTATTTTAAATGCGTCATTGAAGTAAATCGAGATTAAACTAAAAGGTTATAATAAGTATATCCCCCCATTAATGAAAGGAAAAAAAGATTTTTAAAAATAAATCATTGAAACAAATAGAAGGGAGATAAACAGAGAAATCAAAATAAAATTGAGAGAAATAAAATCACGACCCTCTATTGTTTAGTAAATCCTCAAATCCTAAACCAAAAGGATTAAGAAAGAAAACGTCTCAAATTTAAGTAAAAACTTTTAAATAAACGTTGTTTCTATCAATTCTCGATTTATCTCTCCCCTCATTTTATTTAAGTAATTGATGCTTTTCTTTATGTGCCCTTTTTGCCTCATTTTATTTTGTTATTTTCTCATTTACTCACAGCTTGGGGCCTACTTCCCTGCTGTTTTTATTTTTAGTGTTTTTGGGGGTTTTGGTATGTTAAATAAAAGATAGGAAATAACAAAAAGAAAATTTTGGGGCTTTAACTAAGTGAATGAATGAAAAAGAAGGAACATACACTAAATGAGAACAACAAAAATATATAATGTAGATAAACTATTTTAGAAACACATTTTTTGTGTAAATTTAGTGAAAAAATATAAATATATATTTAATGTTTTTTTGGATTTTTTTTTGGATTTTAGGACAAAATCCTAAGGGAAACGAGAAAAAAAAATAAAAAGAAGAAAGAAAAATAAAGAAGAAATGTTTTTACATGTTTTTTCATTAATACTAATGAACGGAAAGAAAAAGTTTTTTTAGAGAAAATTTAAAATAAAGAATTTATTTATGTTTTTAAATTTGGGGTCAAACTTCATTTAAAAATTTGAAAAAAAAATAACAATTATGCCAAAGAAGTTGATCACCCTAGAGTTTCCGATAGGATATAGGTTTCTCTAGAATGATGTCCCCTCAAAGGTACTTTATTCATAACCCCCCCCCCCCCTCTTCGTTTCTAAAGATGGAAATTTGACCAATCAGAGGCAGGAAAGAATAAAAGGAAGTAATCTGAGACTCAAATAGGAGTGGGGGTGGTTTATGAACAAAGTACCCCCTCAAATTCCCCAATTGGAATGGCCCACGCCAGCACCTTCACCAGAGGTGTGACGTGTTATTACATATCTATAGAATATTAAAAAAATTTTTTGACAATGACTATTATAAAAATAAATAATGATTTTAGAGAAATTCCCAAATACTAAAATAGGTTGTTTAAAAAAAAGAAAATATTCTGGAATTTTCAGCTAAGTACATAATACTTAAAAATCGTAAAAGGAAATTATTATGTACCTATTCTAATATTTTTACCTAAAATAAACGTCATAAATATTTATAAACAATAAATAAATAATAAAATAAAAAATAAATTATGGAGAATAATTAGGGAATATAATGTAGAAAAAAATCATTTAAATAAATAATTTTATTATTTACATAGAATAATTAAAATAAATAAATTTCTAGACTTAATTCACTCAAATTATTTTAATAGATTAAAAATTATCTCTAAATTAATTAAAATTAATTTTTTTTTATCATTTTCATAAAATTTCAGAGAGAATGACCGTTTGTCTTTAAAATAAAAATTAAATAAATAAATTCATTTCCCACATTCTTTAACTATACCGCATTAACTTACAGACACGAGGTTTAAATAAATATATTTTTAGAAAATATGGCAGCTGTCACATTGACTAAAAAATAATTTTTCAAATTGAAAAAAGGACAAATATGACATGTGAGAGGAAAAAAAGAATTTTTGTCCATAATATTTTTGACAGGTTCTCTTGAAGAATGTCTTGAAAAGTTGCCTTTTTTGGCTTTATTTTTCTTAAAAATTTTTTATTTATTTTATTATTTTTGAAATTTCTTAAAAAATTATTTTGTCTATTTATGGAAATTTTTCATACATAATTAATAAATTGTTAATTTGAAGAATTGTTAATTAAGAATATTTATGGAGTCTCTTATAATTATAACAAATATACAGGTGAAATTAAGTAAATGAACCAAGAAATAATTTTGTTAAAAAACCAAATTTGTTAAAAACCAAAAATTAAATTTTAAAAAATATTTCTGTTAAAAATAAATAAAAATTAAAGAAAAAATTAATGTAAAATAAAAAAAAAGATTTTTAAAATTACAAGAAAATAAATTGAACGAAAAACAAGAAATTTTTAAATGAGTCATTTCTCGTGAAGTGGTAAAATAAAATTAAAAAATTGTAAATATATTTTTGTTGAGTAATTCTCTTTAATGTATAATTGCTAGGTAAATAAACAACCTTTCCATTATTTTTTAAAAATACTTTTGTCGTCCTTCAAAATTTTAAAAATACTAAAGGTTATTTGTGTGTGTTTATTTGTGTGTAAATAACAGTTTTCAAGAGCCCAATCAAAATAAAATAAATTTAAAAAATAAAATGAATTTTTGTAAAATTATTTCCATTAATGTATTAATCTAATTGATTATAGCCTCACCTTTTTTGTTAAAGACTAAATATATAGTGATCGTCTTGGTTTGGATCTTTACTCCTATGTATAACAATACCCTCCTTTCTGAATTCTTCTCTCAAATTTTCTGTTAATTTCTTTGATAGAATTAACTAAAACAAAATAAATTGCAATTAATTAAAGATTTTGTTAATTTTTTTATAAAAAAAAAATGCAACAATCACAACCAATTTATATACATTTTGTGAGTAAATAAAAAATTAAATAAAAACTAAAAACAATTTGAAAAAGAAAATACGAACAAAATATTTTTAGAATAAAAAAAGGGATTTAAAGGATAATGTTTAAATTACAAAGGCTTTAAAAACATTTCAAGTTTTAACTACAAATCTCTCTAATTTTCGAAATTTCTCATACAAAAATGCAATTATGTAATTGTCAATTCTTCGTTCCTTTAAAATTTAAAAAAATTATAATTGTTTAAATAAATAAAAAAAATTATTTTAAAATTTCTTACATGTTAATCATTTTTGCATTTTCGATTTCACCACGACATAATGGACAAATCTAAAATTGCATTCAAACAATTTGAAAATAATTTTTATAAAAAATTATTATTTATTTTTAAGTATTTATTCAATATATTAATTTAATAAAATAAATTACTTTGTCATTCCCACTGTAGTATAACCTATTTTTATTAAATAAAAAAAATTTATTTTAAATATTTTATTTTTTACTTACCATTTTTGAATACAATTTTTATGAAATATATGCTGAAAATTAATTTTTATTGTTTAAATTAATTTTTAAATTAATTAAAAATTATTAACATTGCAGGGAATGATTGGTTGTATTTCTTCACCATTTTCGAGTTCTTCTAAACAAATTGAGCATTTATTTGTGTTTGTTGCTAAAAAATATTTTTCTTTATTTAAAAATAAAAAATAATTATTTAAATATTTTTACGTTCATCAAAAAATAATTGTTTTGGATTGAAACGATTAACTATTTCTTTTAAATTAATCTCTTCTAAATATTCATCAATATCAAAACTAAAATTATTTTTTTATTAATAATATTCTTCAAATATTTAGTATTTACCTATTATTTTTTAAAACCAAATTTGGAACAAAATTACAATTTCTTTTTATTTTTGTTTTGGTTTTGTTATAATTTTTAAACATTTTTCAATTTGTTCAAATTTTGAAGTCCCTTTTTTGTAAATTTCATTCAAAATTTGTTTTTCTTTTCCCCAATCCCAACTATAAATATAATTATTTAAATTAAATTCAATTTTGTATTTATCTTCAATTGCTTCTTCACTTTTAGTAATTTTTGAGGGGGCTACTTTTATTTTTACATATTCATTTCCAAAATTTGCAAATAAAAAATTAGTTAAACATGCTGATTGTTTTTCTTTAAATAAATTTATTTTAAAAATTTTATTAAATGGGGAATTTTTAAGGAAAGAAATTAAAGATAGTTTAATATTAATTTTAAAATCCTCGAACTCGAAAATCGAAAAAAAATTTAAAAATTGGAAAATAATTTGTAGATGTTCGGTGATTATTTTAAGCGTCCAGCTGGTCCATTTACTTTATTGAACCAACTCTCCTCAGTATCAACTCTGCTCAGCACCCAACCCCAATAATCTCTCCCAATCGCATATATTACACTTAATCAACCGATATCGGTTCAACTTCCCCGATATATCCCTCAATATCACCAAATCCTGAATGTCACCCTTAATCCCACAAATCCATTGATATCACTTTTAATCCCACATACAAAAGAATAAATATTTAGAATGGTGGTACGTGATGAGAGGTAGGTTGGG